AAGCCAGTGTGCCTTCTTTCCTCCAAAGGATCACATTACCTCTCCAGCAATGGTTCAGAACTGGACTGAGGGTGAAATGACAGAAATGTAATTCAGAATATGGATAGAAACAAAGTTCATTAAGTTACAAGAGTATGTTATAACTCAATGCAAGGAAGCTATAAAACATTGCAGGAGCTGACAGACAAAATAGATGCTACAAGAATTTCATAATGCAATCATAAGTATTAATAACAGAATAAACCAAGCAGAGGAAGGAATCTTAGAGATTGAAGACTGGCTTTCCAAAAAAAGACAGGCAAACAAGAGTAGAGAGAAAAGAATGAAAAGGAATGAACAAAACCTCTGAGAAATAAGGGATTATGTAGAGACTGAATCTATGACTGATTGATGTACCTGAAAGATATGGTTGGTTCTATGTGGAGAACAGAACCAATCTGGAAAACATATATCATGATATCATCCATGAGAACTTCCTCAATATAGTGAGAGAGGCCAACATTCGAATTCAGGAAATGCAGAGAACTCCAGTAAAATACTCTACAAGAAGATCATCCACAAGACACACAATCGTCAGATTCTTCCAACGCCAAAATGAGGAGAAAAAAAAAATATTAAAGGCAGTGAGAGAGAAAGGCCAAGTCATGTACAAAGGGAACCCCATCAGACTAACAACAGACCTTTCAGATGAAATCCAGCAAGCCAGAAGAGACTGGAGGACAATATTCAATATTCATAAAGAAAATAAATTCCAAACCAGAATTTTATATCCAGCCAAAGTAAGCTTCATAAGTGAAGGAGAAATACGATTCCTTTTAGACAAACAGATGCTGAGGGAATTTGTTACCACCAGACCTGCCTAACAACAGCTCCTGAGGAAGTCACTAAATATGGACAAGAAAGACCATTAGCAGCCACTACAAAAACACACTGAAGTACACAGACCACTGACGCTATAAAGCAACTACATAAACAAGTCTGCAAAATAAACAGCTAACATCATGATGACAGGATCAAATCCACACATATCAATATTAATCTTAAATGTAAAAGTGACAAGCTGGATAAGGAACCAAGACCCACCAGTATGTGGTCTTCAAGAGATCCATCTCACATACAATGACATACATAGGCTCAAAATAAACAGATGGAGAAAAATCTACCAAACAAATGGTAAACAGAAAAAAGCGGAGGCTGCAATCCTAGTGTCTGGCAAAACAGACTTTAAATCAACAAAGATCAAAATAGACAAAGTAGGGCATTACATAATGATAAAGGGGAGGTCAGGAGGCATATGGAAAATTTCTGCTCAACTTTTCCATTAACCTAAAACTGCTCTTTAAAAAATTATCTATTTTGGCCAGGCGTGGTAGCTCACGCCTGTAATCCCAGCACTTTGGGAGACCGAGGAGGGAAGATCAAGAGGTCAAGAGATCGAGACCATCCTGCTCAACATGGTGAAACCCCATCTCTACTAAAAATACAAAAATTAGCTGGGTATGGTGGCAAGTGCCTGTAGTCCCAGCTACTCGGGAGGCTGAGACAGGAGAATTGCTTGAACCGGGACAGGCAGAGGTTGCAGTAAGCCAGGATTGCAGCGCTGCACTCTACCCTCTACCCTGGCAACAGAGTGAGACTCCATCTTAAAAAAAAAAAAAAAAAAGCTATTTTTAGAAAGTCAGGTTGATCCCAAAATATATGTGTAAATAAAAAGGCTGCGATAATCTTCAAGAAAAACAATGTGGACGTACTCTCTCAAATTTTAAGTCTTATTAAAACTTTAAAAAGACAGTATGATATTATCACTCAAATAGACCAATAAAATAGAACAGAATAGAGTTTCCAGAAACAGACACATGCCTACATAGACATTTGATTTCTGACTAAGATGGCACTGCAGAGCAATGGGAACCAAGCAGCCTTTTCAGTAATTACAGCTATCTGAACATGACTCATGTGAAAAGAATGAAACTTTAGTCCTACCATATACCACACACACTCAAAAAAATCAGTTTCAAGAAGATTTCAGAGATAAATGTGAAAAGTAAAATTAAATGCTTCTAGATGATAAGTGTATATTTTCATGATTTTGTGGTAGGTAAAAATTTCCTAAACCGGATATAAACAGGAAAATACATTAAAATTAGAAACTTGATTCATCAATTGGCACTATTCACAAAAACTAGGTAAGCCACACAGGGAAAGTTAATTTTACAATTATCACCAACAAAAGACTTGTATCTACAATATATTGAGAACTTCTAAAAATCAATAAAAAGTACAGATAACCCAATAAAAATAGACAAAATCCTTGAGCAGTCACCTTATACAAAATGATATTCAAATGGCCAATAAATTCATTAAAATATAATCAGACTGAAAAGGGAACCCTTATACACTGTTCTTGGGAATGTAAATTGGTACAGTCATTATGGAAGACAGTATGGGGATTCCTCAAGAAATTACAAATAAAACTACCATATAAGCCAGCAATCCCTCTTTTACCAAAGGAAATGAAATCAGTAACTCATAGACATATCTGTATTCTCATGTTCATTGCAGCATTATTCACTATAGCTTATATTTGGAAACAACCTGTGTCCATCAATGATAAATGGATAAACTGGTACACACATACACACACACACACACACACACACACACAAACAAGGGAATATGGTTAAGCCTTTTTTAAAAAGGAAATACTGCCATTTGCAACAACATGGATGAACCTGAGGTACATTGTGTTAAGTGAAATAAGCTATACACGAAAACAAAAAGAATGTATGATCTCACTTATATGTGGAATCTAATAAACACCAAATACATTGAAACAGAGAGCAGGACAGTGGTAATCAGAGGCAGGGAGGGGAGGAAATGAGAAGTAGATCAAAAGGTACAAACTTGCAGTGATGTAGGATGAATAAGCCTAGAGATCTAACATACAGCATGAGGACTATAGGTGATAATATGTATTTAAAATGTGCTCAGCGAGTAGATTTTAAGTGGTCTTACCACAAAAAAAGTAATTATGTGATGTGATGGACATGATCTTTTGTGTGACAGTAGTAATCATTATACTATGTATATGTATATCAAAACATCATACTGTACAACTTAAATACATTGCAAAATAATACAGCTATTTTGTATGACAGTATGGCAGAAACAATAAAAATAGAAAAAAAATAAAAGCAATGTGCTTAAGCTCATTAAAAATTAGGAAAACAAAAATTAAAACCACAATGAAATACTACAGCAAAATTGCCAGAATGGTTAACTTACTGGCAAGAATGTAAAACAACTACTAGTGGAAGTTTAAATTTCTATAACCACTGGAAATTTGTTTGACCGTATCTTCCAGAGTTGAACATATGTTTGCCCTATGACTGAGTAATTCTACTTCTATCAGAAATGCTTACATATGTTTTATGAAAGGAAATAAAAGTTTATAGCCTCCTTTTTCACAGTGGCGAAAACCGGAAGTAACCCAAATGTGCATTGGTAAAAATATGGACACACAAATCATAGCACACTGACAGAATGGAAAATAACATAGCAATGAAAATGAACAAAACTACTACTAAACGTAACAAGACTGAAGAATTTCATACAAACATAATTTTGAGTGAAAGCAACAAGGTACAAAACAGTACATACTGCATGATTACATTTATATAAAGTTCAAAAATAGACAAAGCGAATCAATGGTATTGGAAGTCAGCTAGTGGTTTCTCTTATGGAGGACGGTGGGAATAGGGAGTGAAAAGAGATATAAGTGATTGATTTCTGGGTTGCTGAATAGGTTTGGTGTCTTGATATGGGTGGTGGCTACATGAATGCTTACACTTTGTAATAATTCTCTAAGCTGCATACTTTAGAATGCCTGTTATGGCATCAATGTTTATTTTTAAAACGATTTCAATGTAATTTACTGCATTAAAGGATAAGAAAATATTTGATCATCTTAAAAGATGTCAAAAAATAATTCAACAAAATCTGTAATCATTCATGGTAAAAAGCTATTAGGAATATCTAGGAATGTCCTTTTGATGACAAAAATATTTATTAAAAATTTACAGCAAATATCATACTTGATAATGCAACTTTAGAAGCATTCCTATTAAAACGAGGCACAAGACAAGAATAAACACTTTCATTGTTACTACTCAATATAGAAATTTGACATCCTGGTTAATGAAAAAAGACCCAAAAAAAGTCAGAAATATAAATATTTTAAGGAAGAGCCAAAATTCACTTTTTTTTTTTTTTTTTTTTAGATGGAGTCTTGCTCTGTCATCCAGGCTGGAGTGCAGTGGCGCGATCTCAGCTCACTGCAAGCTCCACCTTCTGGGTTCACGCCATTCTCCTGCCTCAGCCTCCCAAGTAGCTGCTCTCTGCCACGCCTGGCTAATTTTTTGTATTTTTAGTAGAGACGGGGTTTCACCGTGTTAGCCAGGATGGTCTCGATCTCCTGATCTCGTGATCCACCCGCCTCGGCCTCCCAAAGTGCTGGGATTACAGAAACTATTTTAAGATGGTAGGCATGGCTTCTCCCAGGGCCTTGAAAAAAGACCTGTGCATTTGAGAAGCTCAGAGACAAGTGCTTTTAGCTTCATGGTAATCCGCCCCTGCAGAGAACACTGGGTTTATTCACGATGTCAGTATTTATTGCATTGTCTTCACATTTACTGTTGCTAGTTTTTCTCTCCCATTAGAACGTAGCACTTTCTTGTTTGCCTCAACACAGTGCCCATAAGAATTTTATATTTAACGAGGAAATGAAATATCTGCATGCAGTATCAGAAAACTATCTGTATTATTGGAATCCTGACACATTTGGAGGTTGGGAACCCTTAGAGTGAACTTTGATTCAGAAAAAAATCAGAAGTTATAACAAATCCTCAGCTTTAACGTGTTTATCAGAAATGCAAACTGATAACTTCATGTCAGCTTGTTTGTTCCACATATAACCAGTTGACATTTTGTATCTATTCCAGTTGATGTATGCCCTATGGATGAATTTTAGCAGTTTGGGTCTTTCAGTAATTGGTTTACTTCTAACTGCATGTGAAATTACACTCTTTTTACTGCAAGATGAAATTATTCAGTGGCCACACGTAAGTACAAGGTTTTACAATATATTTTTCACAGAAACTTACATTTTAAATTTGTTTGTAAATGAGCAGACCTACTTTGGTGTTGGACAAATGCAGAGGTGATCCAAATCATCAATTCACACTTGGCATGACCACAAGTCAGGATCCAAACCACTGAATAGACCTTTAAAACTGTGGCCAAAACAAACCTCAAGAAATCAAACAGTGTTACATAAAATAAAATAACTGAAATGTAGATTATTGAGATTCAGATGAAGGATGATGGCGAAGATACAAAAACCTTACATAAATATAGATATCTCTTCAAAATAAAGAGATATTGGAAGTTGGCAGGCTCACTGACACAATGTACTAGATACATTCCAGTTATCTGTGTCTCCTCAATCCATATTTGCAGTGCCCAGAACTTAATAGATGTCTAATAAGAGTTTATTGAGTAAATGTAAATACTTTTTATTTTACTATCCTTTCTGAAAGTATTCCCAGCAAAATACTCCTGAGCATCAGTAATCAGAAATTATCTGTACGCAATAGGCAGCTAAGTCGCAAGTCCCCTGAATATGCTGTAAATTCACCTTTTTTTTCCCACATGGCACTAACCATTTGATTTTAAGGTAAATATTATGGATATGAAAATTGAAATGCAAAAAAAAAAAAAAAAGATGAACATACGGTCATTGGCTAAATGTGCATGGGATTCCTAGTTGCTTAGTTGGAAACCTACGTATATCGGGACGGGGGAGGTGATACATTAACACTTCAGGATGTCAAAGACCTGATGGAATTGGGACAAAGAAAGGAAGTCCCTTTTTCTTTCAAATTTAAAAAAACGACAGGATAGTTAGGACAGATATCTGCAGTTCAGAATTTTTACACTCATAAGCATTATTGGCATTTTGATCATTTTAGGACTACACTTAATATTTTATGACACCATGTGTACTGCATGCCTTATGCAGAAGGAAGGTCTTAAGAATTCTGAGGCCTATCAAGTGTTCATATCTATTTTTCAAATCCTGCTTGTGCTTTATTGATGTGACAGCTCAGTACATATCTGGAAGTTTTGTTTGTATAGGCTATAGGAGTAAATAAGAACACTTTAAATACTTGATTGAGTAACTAGCTGGTAGGTCTTAGAGGATATCACTCACATGCACAAACACAAAAGATATAGAGCAAAGGCCTAAGACATCACAGTACATTCAAAGGTCAGCCTGCCCCACTCCTTGGAAGTTTATTTTGTCACACATCATGGGCAGAATCCTCTCAAGCAAATTTAATGACAAGGATGTTGAAGTATGATGGCTTTCCATACCTAAAGCTATTATAGAGGTCATATAGTGGCCCCTCAAAAACTTTTTGTAAAGTATCAATAATTCATGAATTCATTAGACTTCCGCCCAGGCTTTGACATCAATTTCACGTTTGTTCTGTCTTCAATTTTAGCAGAATTCATGTTTCTCTGGTAGGGGCTCTTTTCAAACTGACTTCTTATCCTTCTAAGTGCCTCAAAGTAAATCCTGTTAAGACATGTTATGACAACTTAGTGTGAGTTTATCTTGGTGCAAAAAGTTTTTGAAATCCGTGCATAGTTTTTCCATAGTATACATTTCCCATAAACTTTTTGAAGACCCCTTGTATTAGGTGGAACCATTTGAAATTGCTGATATCAGACCATTTTTAATCTACAAATTGTCAGTATTGTATGATCCAATCCAATGTATTAGACTATTCCAATATTTGTAATTTGGAATATGCTCCTTGTGAAATCAAGAGGAAAATAATAATGTAGATATATAGGTTTTAGAATACTATGAATTACCAATATTGACTCACAGTTTTTGTACTAAGTTTCCTGATAGGCAAAGTGAAAATGAAATTCAATCATCATGTGAATAAATTATCTATTAGGCAGAAAGGTTTCAGTTCATTATGGATAAAATGATTCCTGTAATAGTACTTTACAACCATTTATTCATGTATAGTTCAGTATAATGGACATTGTGTCATGAGGTAGATCAGCAAAAATAAACTCCTTGAAGGCTATGATCTTGTCTGCTTCAGATACTGCTACATCCCCAGCATCTTAGACAGGACTTGGCACAAAAGAGGCACTAATTTATATGTGAACATTCCTACAGAAAAGGCTAGAGTAGCTTCCAAAAAGCTATTTCTTATTTAAAAAAAAAAAACTTCTAAGGAAATTCTGGGGAAACTTTAGAGTCAATTGTGAACTAACAATGGTTGCTTCCTAATGACCTGCTTTGATCAAGAGATAAAAGCTCAAGAGGTGGTGAGTTCATGAGATTACATACTTCAAACTATTTCATAAATAAATCATGGATCCATGATAAGAATTGAGTATCAGACCGTTTTCAGGTGTATGTTATTCTGGAATGATTAGAACCTGAAGATATTTGTAATCACATTAGACTTGTAAAAATTAAGCAAGCAGGTAGTAAATAAGCAGATTTATGTTCTTTAATAGAATTTGAAAAGTAAGGTTTTCAGTAGATGAGCTCTCATTCATTCTGACATAGTTATTATTACAACCGGGACTTTTCTTAATCCATTCTAGCACATATATCAGGTTTCCCATATTTTATGCCACAAATCATGTTTTTAAATGTATTGACTGGAATATTTTGGTGAAAAGTATGTCACCCAAACCACCCTTAAAGAATGACTTAATAACACTCTTGGAAAAAAACCTGGATTCAAGGATTATAACTTCATAGTTATCTCATTAGAAAAATTATTTATAAGATTAATAAAAATAACCAAAGAAATGGAAACTTAGAAAATATATGACATTATTAGATAAAAACAATGAAATTAAGAAATATTTATCCAAATTAATTTTCTTGCTTTAAAATAATTGGTATCAAATATTTTTAGTGGAAATTATTATTTAACATGATCAATTGTCTCTGGTGGCCACTCCTACTTTGTGACAATTAAATAATGTCATTAGCATTTGGGAAGACGTCTGTCCTCTCCTCTAAGTAAAGTATGCCTGAAGCTCTTTTGAAAGGCATTCCAATTACTAGAATATCATTTAAGATTCAAGAGAGACCAAATACGATCATTTTTATCTCACTGTCTGTCAGATCTTTATTACCAATAGTCAGAAGAGCAATTTCTGCTCACCCTATTCCTCAGTCATGTTCACATGAAAGAGTCTCATAAGAACCACTCATTATAATAAATTCATTTAGTATAATCTATTCCTATTCAATCTAGTCATAATGTATAATCATTAATTATATGGTCATT